TGCATATCATTTATCATATTACATATTAGGTCATGGCGGATAGTTAATCGTTTAATTTAGAGTTTTCTAAGTAAACTAGCGGCTCACTCTTGCTTCGCTAGGATTCGTCCCTAGGTAACGTTTTAACGGTTAGCATGGAGTAGATAGACTATATGTTATATAATGTGTTTTCCTGTGGGAATGAGATGATTTCCTACGGTAAATAGCCTATGTCACTCTTCAGCCCTACAACTATCTCCACACAAAAAATCACGCCAATCCTATTTTTCGTTTCTATTTGAAATAAACACACTTTCATATTTATAATATTAAAAATAATCATAATAATATTTACTATTTTTTCTTATTCTCTCTCTCTCTCTCTCTCTCTGAACTCTCCTTGAAAAACTCTTCAATCTCCCACTGACAAATACAGTTAACACAACCAACTATTAAAAATGAACCATAATATAGACTAGATAAAGAAATTAAAATCCACACATCTTGTGTCTGCCACGACCTTCGAGTACATTGAAAATGAATCTGCCAAATAACTGAATTAAATTTTAACATTAATTACTAACAGAATCCGCGTCCAGACTACGAAAAAGGAAAAAGTATTTGGATGCATAAAGATGTTATATATATTTCGTATGTGTATATATATGCATAAAGATGTATATATATATATATATATATATATATATATATATATATATATATATATATATATATATATATCGTTGTAATGCAAGTAAGTTTATTAAAATTAAAACCCTCAACCGTCCAAAAGAAGAATAGATCAATGATGAAATCTTACAAAATATCAATAGAAAAAATGACCTATGGTTTTAACTTAAAAGGAACCAAAGTGATAGTGTTTTAAAAGCTAAATTTGAACTGACAAAGGAAAACACACTTAGAAAAATTAAAAAAGACAAAGAAACAGTAAAGAATTTGAAAATTGTTTAAGAAAACCTAAAAAAATGTGGAGATTAATCAATGATTTAGCAACTAATAAAATAAAAGATCAAAGTTCTGCTCCCCCAAAACTTATAGTCAATAATGTTCTAATAACCGATCATGTAATAATATGTGACACATTCAGTGAGTTTTTCTCTACAATAGATACAACTCTTGCTAATGGCATTTATGGTAATTTTCACAACAATCTCTTTTATATTCTTCCTTGCGTAGATAACCTTAACATGAAATTTACACCATTATAAATGAACTAGATTCTAATTCAAGTACCTGTATTGATGGAATTAATACTAAAAGTATAAATTGTAACTAGGCCGAATCTGTACATTAGATATTTTTAGAATTTTTATCTGTCTGTCTGTTACCCTTACCGCATCACGGAAAATCTACTGGAGGGATTTTAATGAAATTTGGTATGATGATAGCTGGTTATCCGGGTCAACATATAGGATACTTTTTACTGCGGGAAAATATCTCATCTCTGAGAAATCTACACTAAACGTTAAAACGTAAGTAGGGACGTACCCGAGCGGAGTGAGGGTGAGTCGCTAGTAAGAAATAAAGTTCTTTAAACCGAAGATGTTCTAACTAATATATAATTTAATGGATGAAAGATAAGAGACATAAAAAAGAAAAACATAAGATAGGTGAAGAAGAAAGGCGAAGAAGACACGCCAGTTAACCTAACAGTGAAACTAACTACATAGCAGTTAATCATACTAACAGTTAAACTAAATGACAGTTAAACTAACTGACAGTTAAACAAACTGACAGTTTAGCAAACTGACAGTTAAACTAAATAGCGGTTAAGCAAACTGATAGAACACAATAGTCATTATTTTAAAAAAAATATTTCACGTACAGATGTCGCTGAGTTACTGTTTTATTATATGAGGTATAGAGATTAGTAATTAGTTTAAAAACATATTTATTTATTCACAAAGTATCACTTCGTTCAAGCACAAAATCATGCTCCAAAACATTTATTCACCGTCCTTATCGCGCTCACGCACCCTCCTCGCGTAAACTTAGCATCACAAAGGTACAACTTCTTAATAACCCATCAATGATATGCACCTACGATATTTTGTAAATGTAGCCCGAACTCATATCTTTAGATATTTTTTTTTATTTTTTCGATATCTTATTTCGTTTTCAAGATATGTTTTGTTTTCTGACTGAAACAGTGCGAAAAGCGACCGCACTTTTCACATTTTTTTTAATTTAAAATAAAAGCTTTTGAGTGTGTTCAATTTTTTTTGCATTTTGTAGCCCTTATTCAGAGGCGCATCTTTTAACATCCCAATCAAAATTCAAAATATTTTATTCAGCATTAAATTTTTACAATTTTTTACTGAACGTCATGAGTCTACTACCAGTTCGCTAATCAGCCACGTAGTCCCAAAAGTTCGCTGAAAATCGGGCCTATACCGAAGTGACCAAAAAAATATTTTCAATATTAAAATAGATAAATAAATAGATAGATAAATAGATTAAAAATAGATAAATTGTATGTGTTTTCGTTTTATCTTTTTTTTGTGTAATTATGGGTTTTTGCCTGAATTAAAGATTTATTATATTATTATTAAAACCATTGGGTCATCTATACAGATAAATAATAAAATTGAAGTGCCTGTTCGTAATATTAAAATAACAACTTTTTACTAAATACATATGTATATATTATATGTAAAGATACATTCGGAATTGAAGAAAAGGGGATCTCCCGACCGCTGTATATACCGCTTATATATTTTTGTTCTGGAAAAATGCACGATTACCATGGGATAGATTTGATTTTCTTTTTCACTAACTTGCTAGTAACAAATAAAAAAGCTACATTTGTGAATGACGTAGATACAGAATCTGTCGTTTCTAAATTTTAATTAGATAAGATCCAAAGTAAATACTTATCACTGTGGCACCATTTAAATTAACATAGCCATATAAGCTGTAGTTTCAGATGTTGTAATATTCTTAAATATATTATGTACTCGTAGAATAAATAAAGTACAAATTATTTTTCCAGATATTGCAAGATAGCTATCGACAAGAATCAGTGGCTTATAAAACTCTACTAACTGTAATGGAAGAATTCGAAGAAATCCTGTCCTGTCCATCCTGTCTGTACTAACTGTAAGGGAAAGAATTCGGGAGGTGAAGATAGTACCTAGAACCATGTCGCGTATTTTAAAAGATGACTTAGGACTTGCAGCCTATAAGAGACGCACTGGTCATTTTTCAACTTATAATTTAAAAAAGAATAGGGTGGTAAAATCAAAACAACTACTTAAGCGGTACGCAAAGGGAGGTCACAGAAATTTTTTGTTTGCAGATGAGATAATTTTTACAACTGAGCAATATTTTAACAAACAAAATGACCGTATTTATGATCAAAGCTCTAAATAAGCTTCCCAATTAGTCAACAGAGTACAACGTGAGCATTATCAGACTTCAGTGATGGTTTGGTGGAGTGTTAGCTATGAAGAAGTGACTGAGCAAGATTTTTGTCAAAAAGGTGTCAAAACATCGGCACAAGTGTATCAAGATACCAATTTTTTTTACAAATACGTAGGTCATCATAGATACTGCGGAGAGATTGTTTGTTATTCAACACAGAGTAAAGTGTCTTTATGGAAATGAAATACATATGTCGATCATGTGTCACTACTTTGATAGGCACTTAGCCATTTTTTGGGTGGCTATGACCGAAACCTTTTTTGAGGAATGTACACACTGCCGGTCTTAGTCCGTTCGTTTCCAACCCGTAGACGACCGTGTGTTAAATAAGTGAATAAGGAAAATACTACCTACTTAAAAACCCATAATATATAAAGTTTTTGACAAATTATTTAACGGACGATAGATGTTTTATTTATAATAAATTATACAAAAGAGCCAGAAAAACGATTGAAATTTATCATGTCAATATATTAAAGAAATTTAAATTGTTTTAACATGCAAATTTGCAATATAAACCAAGTATTGACATTAATTTTTAAAAATACGAAAATCTCACAGCGTTGTTTTTAGGTGAGAAATGTTAATAAGTTTAAAAACTACCTTTTAATATCAATACGATTGTGTGTTTGTTCATTGGTCAATTTGTACTTTCACTATATTACAGCACGAGGCAAGTGTAGGACAGTGGCGCCAACTAGAAGGGATTTCTTTAATACTTAATTACTATATATACATATTGTAAAATAAGTCCCCCGCCGCGTCTGTGTGTCTGAACGGGATAAACTCAAAAACCACTAACGGATTTTCATACGGTTTTCACCAATTAATGGAGTGATTCATAACGAAGGTTTAAGTGTATAATTCATTAAGGTTTTGTATAAATTGGCTGAAATATGACGATGGTTGTTGAAGATGTTGGAAACAATCTTGCCGACTGGGAGCTTTATTGGCATGCGCCGCGTAAACTAATAAAGTTATATGAAAACAACTAGCATTGCCCGCGGGTCCGCCCGCATTTAGATGACCAAAAACCAAATTCTTAAGTTTTACATATTTCGAGTAGTATACTCTTACATTGCAGTTTTTGTAGTTTTTCTCAGAAATGAGATATTTTCTCGGGGTAAAAAGTATCCTATATGTTGATCCGGATAACCAGCTATCACCATACCAAATTTCATTAAAATCCTTCCAGTGATTTTTCTGTGATGCGATAACGAACAGACAGACTAAAATTCTAAAGACTATACATTCGGCCTCTGTATCGATAATATAATGTTTATTTCAATAAGATTTTCCAAAAAATATTTAATGTACAGATTCGGCTTAGTTACAATTGTATTAGATGTATTACAGAATTATTCCTTTAAAAAAGATCTTTCTATTGAACTGAAGCAACGCTATGTCCACGTACTTAGGGACGAAGCAAGGGTGATTCGCTAGTTAGATATATTTAAATTCTTTGGTTTATAATACTAACTTGTTTAAATCCCAGGTCTGGTATACTAACATACAAATTAATATTCAACACGATTATCACTTGCCTTCGTGAAACTCATTCCAAAGACGCAAACACAATGTGGAATGAGTTTCACGAGCGCAGCATCCAGAAAGCCACAAGCTACCTAGGCATCTCAAATGGACTTTCAAGGGAGAACAAAGACCCAATACTATGGGACCCGGAGGTCCAAGAAAAGATCAGATCCAAGAAAACCCTCTACAGGATCTGGCAAAGTACAAAGAGCGATGACGACCGGACAACATACCGAGACGCAAAGAGGGAAACCAAACGCGCGGTGGCGCAGATCAGAGCTAGAAGCAGGGAAGGTTTTTATGCTAAGCTAGAAAATGCTAACAATGATAAACAGCTGTTTAAAATTGCCAAACAAAGACATCGAGATACACAAGACACTCGGGCAGTTAAGTACATCAAAGACCTGCAAGGAAACCTCTTAACATCAGACTCGGATATAAATGATAGATGGAGGGAATACTACGCTAAATTGTTGAACGAGACACACCCCTGTGAACCAATAATGGAGCTTCCAACAGTGAAAGGTCCATGGCCTGTCATTACGCCGGAAGAAGTCAAATTAGCGTTAAGCCAAATGGCTAATAATAAGGCAACTGGTCCTGATGATCTGCCAGCGGAGCTGTGGAAGAAACTGGGAGACGATGGAGTGTACTTTTTAACCACGCTGTTCAACAAACTACCATCTGATGGCATCCCTCAGTCATGGAAAAAAAGCTTTCTGGTTCCATTCTATAAAAATAAAGGCGATATTCGACTCTGCGGGAACTATCGAGCCATAAAACTGCTGCCACATAGCCTCAAAATATGGGAACGAGTGATGAACCGGAGGCTACGCCAGATAACGAGCGTCACAGAAAACCAGTGTGGGTTCGTCACTGGAAAGTCAACCACGGATGCGATCCACACTATTCGCATCCTAATGGAATCCCACAGGGATGATAAGAAAGACCTCCACATGGTTTTTATAGATCTAGAAAAAGCTTTTGATTGCATCCCAAGACCACTGATTTGGCAGGCATTACGAGCAAAGATGGTACCCGAATGTTATGTGCAAATGGTGGCTGACATGTATGACAGCGTCTCGGCAAAGGTACGGTGTCCAGCAGGAATCAGCAAGGAATTCGGTGTGGAGGTGGGCGTCCACCAGGGATCAGCTCTAAGCCCGCTATTGTTTAACCTTGTCATGGACTACCTTACATCTGAGATACAGCAACCCATACCATGGAGTATACTTTATGCGGACGATGTAGTCCTCATTGACAAAGACCCAATAGCCCTCCAGAAAACGCTGGAAAAATGGAGATCAACCTTAGAAAGAGCCGGGCTAAAGATCAGTAGAGAGAAGACCGAGTACATGCACTGTAAATTTTCAGATAGCAACACCAAACATATCATGTACCTGCAGAATACGGCGCTCAAAACTGTAGAGAGCTTTAAGTACCTAGGCAGTGTGTTGACAAACGACGGCAGTATCGACGCAGACGTCGCGCACCGTAGAAACGCTGGGTGGCTTAAGTGGAGAGAGCTAACAGGAGTGCTTTGTGATCCAAGAATGCCAATACGCGTCAAAGGCAAAGTATACAAAACCGCAATAAGACCCGCAATGACATACGGAGCGGAATGCTGGCCGCTCAAGAAACAACAAGCCGACAAACTACACGTCGCCGAAATGAGAATGCTCAGGTGGTCGGCCGGAGTCACTCTTTTGGACAAAGTGTCAAACCTTTACATCAGAGGAACTTTGAAGGTTCGACCGATACAGGATAAGTTAGCAGAAGCAAGACTACGATGGTACGGCCATGTCATGAGAAGGCCGGTAGATCACATGACCAGAAAAGTGCTCGATCACAAGTCAGGACCCAAACAGCGCGGAAGACCCCGACTTACGTGGATGTCTGTAGTTAGGAAAGATATGGAAAACAACAATGTTGACCCAAGGACGACCCAGGAAAGACATGTCTGGAGAAGAATGATTAGGAGAGCCGACCCCAAATAAAGATGGGAAAAGGCCGGAAGAAGAAGACGATTATCACTTGCCTTACGGTGAAGAAAACATCGCGAGGAAACCTGCATGTCTGAGAGAACCTAGCAAGTTGTCTGCAGACATGCTCAGTCCGCCCGCATTTGCCCGGCGTGATGAACTATGGCCTGGGTATTGCGGGAAGTCCCTTATCCTGTTTCTACTAACATTATAAACTCAAAAGTCTGTCACGATGGATGGATGATTATTTACTCTTTCATGCGAAATCTGCTTCACGGAATTTGATGAAACTTTATATTAATATAGCTTATACAAAAGAGTGTAGTGGCTAGCATGTACGGCTGCACACCCGGAGGTCCTGGGTTCGAGTCCCGGGTCAGGCCAAGTTGAGTTATTGAGTATTTCTGTATAGTAAGCCTCAGTAACAGCCCGGAGTTGGGAAGTTGGCGGTGTTTCACCCCCGTACCGAGGCAGAGCACGTAAAGCCGTCGGTCCTGCGCCTTAACTCTCACCGGTCGTGTCTCGTATCGTCCCACCGGAGTATGAGAGTGACAGGAATAGAGAGTGCACTTGTTTCTGCGCGTACACTTGTGCACTATAATATCTCCTGCGCAGTTGGCTAGTCTCAACGAGATTGGCCGCCGTGGCCGGAATCGGCTAAGAGAACATATCATCATCAAAAGAGTAACACATAAGCTATAAATTATAAACATATGATATAGTAATTAACCGCGGGGAAACGTTAGTAAAAATATACTTAAAATGGTTTTTTATGATTCACCGGTCAAAAAAGTATAAACTGAGGGTTTTCTATACTAAAATTTGATCTTTTCTGTTTTATGTATAAATATTGAATATGTATAAATGGTTTTTTATGACTAGCCACCCACACTCGCTCTGTTTGTCCCTATTTACGTTTTAACGTTTAGTATACATTTCTCAGAGATGAGATAGTTTCCCGCAGTAAAAAGTATCCTATATGTTGACCCGGATAACCAGCTATCATCATATCCATGAAAATCAGTCCAGTAGTTTTGTCGTGATGCGGTCACAGACATACAGACAAACAAACAGACAAAAATTCTAAAAACTGTAGAATCAACCATAATGTACAGATTCGACTCAGAATTTTATTATCTGTATAAATAAGATAAAAACAAAAAAATAGTTATAAAGATTAATAGTATAAAATCATTTTTAAAAACAAGCTTTTATTTTAATACGTTGAAAAGAAGAAAATAAAGTTTGAAATTAATAAAATTTACATTTTATTACATTATGTAAACAAAATTAATGTGTCTGTGTGTATTGTCAAAATAACAACATTTTACTATATGCATATGAAATTATATAGCGTACCTATAAGAAAAAAAAACTATCTCTATTTTTTATCTGTCTGTCTGTTTGTTCCTGCTAATACCCGAAACGGCTGGATCGATTTTGACGGGTCTTTCACTGGCAGATAGCTGATGTTATATATAAGAAGTAACTTAGGCTACTTTTATTTTGAAAAAGAATTAGTATTCAACACACAAAAAATTAAAAACTACGAAATTGTGAGCAAAATCGCGTACCTAGCTTTTTAACGTCCCACTGTTCGGCACGGGCCTCCCTTCAATACAAGGGTTATCAGGCCATAGTCCACCACGCTGGCCAAGTGCGGGCGGACTGCACTGCACATGTCTTTCGAGAACTGCTAGGTTCTCTTAGACATGCAGGTTTCCTCACGATGTTTTTCCTTCACCGTAAGACAAGTGGTAATCATGTTAGAAATCATTCGCACATGAAATTATCAGAGGTACTAGACCCGGGATTTGAACCCGCTTCACTCGGTTTGCCATGCGAGCGCGTTACCACTGGGCTACCACTCTTATCTACATTTTGTTTTATGCGACTAAAGTAATATTTAAACAGCTTTCTTTTTAACGAAGGCACGGAATCACCGAAAATATCTACCTATATCATTTCTTAAGGCATTTGCTAATGATATCATTCTATAGATAGAACTATGTTGACCGAGGTAGGTTCTTGTATCTAAAAAGGTTTTGCGATTATGCAATCAAGTTTGTTGGCGGGGTATTGAATAATGCAAACGTTCCAGTAATGTATATGTATAATAGTTTAAATTTAATATTATTGCAAGAGATGGCACTGTCATTGTAGGTATAGTTTTCTGAATCGCGGTGTCAAAATTTCTGGTCGTTATGTTTAAGGCAATTGTAAGATGTGTCATTAGAGTTTAAATTGAGTTAAAATATACGAGTGTCATCAACGAGTAATATTTTCATTTCTAACAGGTATTATACTTATTAAACCTTTTATTAAATCTATTAAACCTTTAATTATTTTAATTGTTATTAAAACCTTTAATTGTTATTTAAACCTTTAATTATTTTACACAAAAGAGTTAAATCTCCTATTTTTCTTCTTTATTTTAATGGTAACATATTAAAATGTTCGAGACGAGATTTATAGCGTCCGCGCAGAGCATCTCTATAGCGTCGAGCACTTTCGATTTTAATATAGGAAAATAGTAATTGATTTACAAAAGTATTGGTGGGTATAAAGTAAAACAGATCTTTTATTTTTTAGTCTTTAAATATCGCAAAAATTCTTAACAGTTTAGAAACAATAGCAATGGCAAGTCAAAAAAATACCATTTCTTTGAAAAAAAGTAATAGATATTTTCGTTCCACGAAAAGAAAATTTGGGTAAAATATTGTTTAAGAGATGATGATTCACATATATTTTTTTCTAGCATTTCGGTCAAGCCATAAACGAGAAGTACGTACTAATCGCCTTAAATATGTTAGATTATACAGAAAACGATTTTGTATCCGCTCGATCCGGTCTGAATGCATTGCATTGCTGTAAAGCATTCGAAACGTTGGTAATTAAAAATCAAAATAAATCTGAATGTTAAAACTTTAAAAAAGGGGGCTAAAATAACTAATAGATACTTTAAATAAATAATTAATAGTTCTAATACCCACAACACCCACCTAACATGGTTTTGCAGATAAAATAAAAATAAATAAAATTTTAGCATGTGATGTAAATCATTAAGTTTATTTATACTTATTTAAGTTTTAAAATAATATGTGCGTTGAACATTATAAAAGATTCGACGGAAAGTAAATATTTTAAAATAAAACATGCAAGAATCGTGAGTTCTAAAGTCGATTAAGAAGACGAGTTTTAAAATAAAAATATAACAGAATACATCGACCCTTATTAAGTCAGTGTACTTTGTAAAACTTGCCAGAATAACAGTTTGAATTTTAACGTTTAGTATAAATTTCTCAGAGATGAGATATTTTCCTGCAGTAAAAAGTATCCTATATGTTGACCTGGATAACCGGCTTTCATCATACCAAATCTCATCAAAACCTGTCTAGTGGTTTTCTCGTGATGCGTTTCCAGACAGACAAAAATTTAAAAAACCTATAGATTCGGCCTCTGTATTGATAATAATGACTATTTCAATAAGATTTTCCAAAAAAATATTAATGTACTTACAGATTCGACTCAGAATTTTACTATACGAGTATGTATAGACTATAGACTCACCATCGCTTCGCTCGGGTTTGTACCTAGATACGTTGTAACGGTTATTATGGTATAGATAGACTATGTCATATATACTAAGGTATAAGTTTTATATCTCTTATTTGAGAAATGATTGATTTCCCATACAAAGACCCACCCCCATTTTTACTCTCTTAAGGGATGATTTCCGGGATAAAAACTATCCTATGTCGTTCCCAGGGTCTCAAAATATCTCCATACTAAATTTCATCTAAATAGGTTCAGCGGATTTAGCTTGAAAAGGTAACAGATAGAAAGATAGACAGTCAAAGTTGCTTTCGCATTTATAATATTGGTATGGATAGCTTAGTAAAGATTCTTCTGTATTTGACCATCTATGACATTTGCAAAACTTGTTGTAGATTACAAAATAACACCAATCTACATATGTTTCCATGCTAATATTATAAAATGTGAAAATAGCCGTCTGTCTGTTGAATGGGTAAAAGAAGGAATGAGTACATAAGAGCTTAAAAGTAGCACCAGTGATAAAGAAGTTGAAAGGAAATCGTCTAAGTTGGTATGGAAATGTGAACAGGAAGGATGAAAGAGTGACGAAAAGAGTGATGGAAATGAATGTAGATGGATGGAGAGGTAGAGAAAGATCGAAGAAAAGATGGATAGATTGTGTGAGATAGGGCATGAAAGAGAAAAGAATGAATGATAAGATGACGAGTAATAGGGGAGAGTGCAAGAGGAAGACTTACGGAAGAGGGAGACTTACTGCGCCGATCCCAAGTAACTTGGAAAATGGGCAGGGATAAGAAGCTGTCTGTCTATTACTTTCCGTACTTAAACTGCTGAACAGATCTCGATGAAATTCGGCATGGATGTAGATTTCATCATGGGAACGTATGCTATCTTTTATCTGGACACCATGCGAGAAAATAAAATTGTCCGTTCAATTTTCCAAATAGATAAAAAAGTAGTAAAAATTAACTTATAAATTATATCGAATTCAACGTCACCTAAAAGTAGCAATGCCACCATTTGAAGAGCAATTGCTAATATTAGAAAATGTTAATATGAGACCATTCTAGAGGGACACATACACAGGGTGTCGTATTTGAGTGCGGAAGCGGTCCTGCGACGCCCCATTAAGACGGTGGAGGTTCCGTTGGGTTTTAGTGGGTTAGTGTTAGTATCTACTGGCTTTTTTAGCCTGTGAGTCCCACATCACCTGTATGTACGCAGGTGGCATACGTAAATGCATATTCCAACATTAAAAAAGGCAAACACACCCGAAGCACGCTAAGCAAGAGTAACTTTCTAGTCTTACTACTATATAAATACGAAAGTGTTGATAGATGGATGTTTGTTACTCAGTCACGCCAGAACGGCTGAACGGATCTGGATGAAATTTGGCACAGTGACAGTTTATTGTCTGGAATTACACATAGGCTACGTTTTACTTTTTTTACTCCCACGAAAACGATTCCAGTGGGATAGATTTGTTTTGGTTTTTCACTAACGACGAACCCGAGCGAAGCAGGGGTGAGTCGCTAGTTAATAATATTTCCCACAGATGATTTTTAGTCCACCTGTTTTATTTTGAAATGTCATTAAATTTATATTAAAAGATCCTATGGTCAGTACGTTCATTCTATTGATAGTAAACTGGATATCTTTTACGACGTCGACTGGTAATGGCGCCTCGACAATCTTTATATTACACGTTTAGTAGAATTAAATAAATTAAGCTACGTAATGCAGATTTCTTTATCGTCGATTTAATGCTAAGTATTTGTTTAAACGACCAATACCTGTTGTACTTAACAGTAGAGAGATTCCTCTATTTTAAAAAGCTGATGCTATTTGTATTTAAAATAAGGACGAATAAAAAAAATTTATTTGTAATTTAATAAGACGAATAATGAATAAAGGAGGCTGTTTATTCGTCCGACTATTGTCGATTTGTAGGAATATTTACCACATTTTATTGATTTCTAATGTAAAATAAGTAATTTTTAGGCGTGTCTATATGCAAAAAAACCTTAATCTAATGAGCTGAACACTTATTCTTTTAAATAACAACGATTTTTAAGTTTAAGAATTTTTATGTGTAAAATGTGATTTTTAGATGCAGGAGTTTCTATTTGTAAATAAAAATTACCTTAACCTACAAAACTAGAAACTTAGTCTTTTAAATCCCAACGATTTTAAAGTTCAAGGGTTTTAAAGGTTAAAAAAATATTTTTAGATAATTATTGTTTAATGTAATTTTTAATCCTTGATTTAAAATTGAATACCATAAGGGAGGAAATAATCCGTCCCATAGCTGGACGTGGGCCTCTTATCAATACTCGGGGGATCAGGCGAATGGCCATTGTCCACTACGCTGGCCAAGTGCGGGTGACTGAGCATGTCTTTCGAAAACTTGGTTCTCTCAGACATGCATTCCTTCAAGATATTTTCCTTCACCGTAAGACAAGTGATCATGTCGGGGATGTTTCGCACATGAAAATATCAGAGATGCGAGACCCGGGATTTGTACTCGCTTCACTTGGTTCCCGAGCGTGCGCATCACCACTGGGATACCACTGCCTCAACACGCGTTATATAAAACATACCTATAAATTACCATAAAACTGAATTGAATACCTCTTCCTTTTGAAGTCAGCCAAAATGGTTGGACCGGTTTTAGTGGAATTTCCTTTGTTAATATAAATATAAAATTGCGTCATCTAAAAACAAAAGATAGTCGAACTATAACTATTATTGTTAGATGTATTTTACTGCTTACGCTTTAACGTTTAGTATAGATTTCTTAGATAAGATATTTTCCCGCAGTAAAAAGTATCCTATACGTTGACCAGAATAACCAGCTATCATGATACCAAATATCATCAAAATCCCTCCACTGGTTTTTCCGTGAGGCGATAACAGACAGACAGAAAGACAGACAAAAAATCTAAAAACTATAGATTCGGCCTCTGTATTGATAATAATGTATATACATATAGTAATATATATAATAGAATTTTCCAAAAAATATTTAATGTACAGATTCGACTTAGAATTTTATTATATGTATAGATAAGAATAGCAATATTTTAATGAACGAGATATTGGATTTGATCTTTTAATACTCCTCCACGCTGAAACATATCTCTTCTTTCAACAGCTTTTTACTTAATACATATGAAAGTATATACGGTACATGTATAAAAAATCCATTTTTAACATTTTTGTCTGTCTGTCTGTTTGATACGACTTATCACAAAACGGCTGGACCTATTTGGACGGGACTTTCACTGGCAGATGTTGTAAAGTGTAACTCAAGCTACTTTTATCAACCGACTTCAAAAAGGAGGAGGTTCTCAATTCGCCTGTATTTTTTTTGTTTTTTTTTTTTTTTTTATGTTTGTTACCTCAGAACTCCGTCATTTATTGACCGATTTGGACAATTTTTGTTTTGTTTGAAAGGGTATACTTCCAGATTGGTCCCATTTAAATTTCAAAAAAAAAATACCACCCCTAAGGGTGGAAAAACAACAAATGATGAATTTAACCTACTTCTAATTGTCATATTGATTTGAAATTTTGCAAGTATTTGTATTTCCGTTGATAGTACAGTGGTTCTGTGTTGTTGACCTGATCTGATGGCAAGGCCAGAAGGTGGATAGGTGGAACTCCTCAACGGCTAATAGTAGATACTTTGAGTTTGGGCTTATTTTGTTTGATTTGACAAGCCTAACACGTTAGAATTCTTACTGTGCTACTACTGTCTACACTAAAAAGGGAAAAATAAAAACTTTTTAACAAAAAAATAAAAACCGACTTCAAACAAAAGCACTAAAAAGTAAAAAATAACTGATTGGTAGTTTTCATTTACTATACATACCTAATCAAATATTTTCGAAGTCGGTGTGCTTTGGCTAAGTAATTAAAGCCTACCTATTAAATACATACTTAATCAAATATTTTCGAAATCGGTGCCAGCCCATACAAAGCAAAGCACACCGACTTCGAAAATATTTGATTAGGTATGTATAGTAAATGAAAACTACCAATCAGTTATTTTTTACTTTTTAGTGCTTTTGTTTGAAGTCGGTTTTTATTTTTTTGTTAAAAAGTTTTTATTTTAGTAAAATAACCAGTTCAGTTCGTACATATTTATTAAAAAACTGCTACTTTGACAAACAGACATTTCTATTTTATTTTTATGTAGGTATAGATGTATAGTTTCAAGCTTTTATGGACTCTGATAAAATTTTTAGGATGTATAAATATCGCGATAGATGTACATATTTACCATGTTTATTTATTTTATGAGTCCTAACAAAGGTACGACCGGTGTCAATGTTTTGTTGTTGTTTTTTCTCTTTTTTATATTAGATTTATAACCAAACTTTTATAAACCAAAGGTCCTAATTTATTAGTAACTCAATATCTTAAAGAGAAAAAGAAACATAATATATATAAGGATCATATCTTTCACATAACTTCATATGAGGGTACATCCACCCCAAAAGACATAAGGTATTTTAATCCACTTCATGTCACGGTGATTTCGGTCACGGCGTTCAATCTCATTGAAACTAACAAATGGCTATTTAGTAGTAGGTAGTAGTAGGCGCAGGAGACATTATAGTGTACAAGTGTACGCGCCGACACAACGTGCGCTCTCATACTCCGATGCGACTCCTCGGCACGACCAGTGAGAGTTAGGGCGGAGAATCGACGCGACAAGTGCTCTGCCTCGGCACGGGGGTGAAACACAGCCAATTTCTCAACTCCGAGTTGTTACTGAACAGAAAGACTCAATAACCAAACTTGGCCCTAACCGGGACTCAAACCCAGGATCTTCGGATGTGCAGCCGTACATGCTACCTACTACACCAACGAGGCAGTTCGTCGACTTCATGTATGATATAAATGATTATGTCCGTTTTAATGTCCCACTGCTGGGCCCGGGCCCTTCAATAAAACAGGGAGATGATAAAATCGCATTGACACATGGTATAAGTCAGTGGTAGCCCACTGGTAACGGGTTTGCTTGGAAAAATTTAAACTTAAAAAAAACCGACTTCCAGCCATTAAAACAGTAAATAAAACCGGCTTTAAGACACTAAACAAATAATTGAAAGGATTGTTTTCATGTAGGTACTATAGATATCTACTGAATTAGATATATCCGAACTTTTTTGGAAGTCGGTTAAAAGTGATGCGTTTTCAAAACTAGGGTTCTCGCACCGCAATATAACAATATTTTCGTGTGCGAATCATTACTGACATTATTCACTTTAAAAAAACATCGTAAGGAACCTAGCAAGTTTTCGAAAGACATGTGAAGTCCACTCGCTGGAGCATGGTCGACTATGGCCTGATCCCTCACCTTCAATATGTGCCCACGCCCAGCAATGGGACTTTAACAACTGTACACAATATACCTACTAAGTAGCAAAGAAACTCAGGCCCATAAATTGTATGTATGTATTGTATTTATGTCCCACTGCTGGGGGTGGGCCTCCCTTCAATGCGAGGGGGATCAGGCCATAGTCCACCACGCTAGCCAAGTGCGGGTTGGCGGACTTTACATGTCTTGCGAAAACTTGCTAGGTTCGCTCAGACATGCAGGTTTCCTCGCGATGGCACTGACAGACACAGATACACATGTTACTTATAATAACAGCCCCCTTTTGCGTCGGGGTTTAAAAAATCACAGGTTTTCAGATAAAAACTGGAAAAATTTATATATGACGCAAACTGGGCAAGCTAAATAAAACCGTTTATAAAACAAATCACTTTAATAACGAATTCGATTACATAAGTACTACTAACGTAGGTATACAATTTTTTTAAAATATCAAACAAATAAAATAATAAAGCATATTTTATTTAACTGGTGGTCGTCCAGTGGTCGGAAATCGATCATAAATCATTATTGAAAATTTGAGGAAAACATATACGCATGAACTACGAGTATCTTTTTGAATTATTTCGCGGATTTATTTTGATTGTTGGTTCTCGATGTTTCGAATGCTTTACAGCAATCATGGTCACGGGAGATGTACACACTTGCTACGGTGGCGCCACCCTTATTTAACGCTTTTCGACGGACACTTTTTCATCACAGAAATACTTCTCCTTAGCTATATCCTCCATATACTAAACAAAAATAAATGACTTACTATATATAAAACCTCAGACTAAAGAATTATATAGACGGGAGTCCGCCAAAACAAATGCTAAAGTCAAAAATAATAGCGTGATTTGCTGTTTGTGCTACGATTTTCGATTTTGCTATATTTTTAAAGAACTAGCGACTTATTTACTCCTTATAACCTCAGCTATCTACCATTGAAAATCCCGTCAAAAGTCAAACAAACAAACAAAAATTATAAAAATTGTGTTATCTTAAAAGTAGGCACCGTATATAATTCCATATGCATTCAGTAAAAAGCTGCTATTTCGACATTACACACAGACACATCAATTTCATTTATCTGTATATAGAAGAAAAATTTTATACATGTATTATTCTGTACATATATGTTCTTAATTTACAATTGTTGAGAAGAATATAAGAATAATAATAAAATTAAATAATTGAAAGAGAGAAAGCATCATAATACCTTTTTACTTCTATACATATAATAAAATTCTAAGTCGAATCTGTACATTCAATTTTTTTTGGAAAATCTTATTGAAATAGTTATTATTATCGATACAGAGGCCGAATCTAGTTTTTAGAATTTTTATCTGTCTGTCTGGGAACGTATCATAAGAAAACCACTGGACAGATTTTGTTGTAATTTGGTATGATGATAGCTGGTTATTCGTGTCAACATATAGGATACTTTTTACTGCGGGAAAATATCTCTCAGATATCGATATTAAACGTTTAAACGTTATTTATTATAACAAATTTCCATATCTATTAAAATTTATTTACTTATCACAGCAATGAGTACTCTATTAACATTTGTATAATATTATAAAACATTATTGTTTGGCTTCATGTTTAGTTCTATGACACTCTATATATATCATTCCTTAGTCTGAGTACAAAACTTACACTATGGCATACCTTATATGTATATTAAACTAAATCACGGATACTTAAAAATTATCTAAAAAAGTATTAAAAAATTTCGAATTTTTAAAGCGCAATGTATTTTTCATAGTAATATTACCTAATTTATTTATTTTATAGTACCATAAAATTTTATATAGGGATTGAATTGATCAAAAAAAAAATCATTCAAACCAATACACACCGTCAAATTTTTGTTTGTAGGTATGCTTGTTACTACTTCACACAAAAATGGATGGTCATATTTGTATGAAAAGTACACAGATAGATTATGAGCAGGAGTAGCACATAAGCTACAAGCTCTGCTCACTTCGCTTCGGGTTCGTCCCTAGTGAAACAAAAATAAATCTATCCCACGGGAACCATACATTTTTGTGGGATAAAAAGTAACCTATGTGCTATTCCATACTATAATCTATCTCTGTGCCAAATTTCATCCAGATCCGTTCAGCCATTCTGGCGTTAAAGAGTAACAAACATCCATACATACTCACCAACTTTCACATTTATAATATTAGAATGGAGTATAGATGGGTGAATGGGATTATTAAGCATTTAGAGATACACCTAATTCGCTAGTAATATTATACAAACTAGAAATGTAAAGCTATGGGATTTAGTCATTTTTATTAAAAGAGTCAAGTACCGACTTTCTTAGATACTAAATATAAATATGTTGGTACATTAACACATAGCACAATCTAGTTCCATGGTAAGCTACGAGGCCTATGTTATGGATACCAGATAGTTGATACACTACACATATATAACTTTAAATGATGATGTTCTCCTAGCCGATTCCGGCCACGGCGGCCAATCTCAATGAGATTAGCTAACTGCGCAGGAGATATTATAGTGCTCAAGTGTACGCGCAGACACAAGTGCACTCTCTATTCCTATCACTCTCATACTCCGGTGGGACGACCACTCGACACGACCGGTGAGAGTTAAGGCGCAGGACCGACGGCTTTACGTGCTCTCCGAGGCACGGGGGTGAAACACCGCCAACTTCCCAACTCCGGGCTGTTACTGAGACTTACTATACAGGAAGACTCAATAACTAAACTTGGCCCGACCCGGGACTCGAACCCAGGACCTCCGGGTGTGCAACCGTACATGCTAGCCACTACACCACCGAGGCAGTAGTTTAAATACATACATATTATAAGTATACACCCCTGAACTGGAGCACAAATATTCGTGCCCCAGCGGGACTCGAACCCGCGACCGCTGGCACAGCAATTAGGGTTACTACAAACTGAGCCAAGCGTGTCGTCATCAAATCTATACTAATATTATAAACAGGCAGAATTTGTTCGTTTGCTTGTTTGAACGCGCTAATCTCAGAAATAAATCCGATTTGAAAAATTCTCTTTGCATTAGATAGCACTTTTATTGAGGAAGTCTATAGGCTATATATCATCCCGGAAAAATGTACGGTTCCCGTGGGATAAATTTGTTTTTGTCGGGGGACGAACCCGAAGCGAAGCGAGGTAGAGTCGCCAGTACTGCATATTTTTTATGAAAAAATAATTAAAATTATTTAGTCTATACACAAATTTGTATGTTTGCTCATATAGTAAAGTGACTGAAGTATAGACAGATGGACATATAAGGGTTCCGTTATTGCCTGATACCATTTTGGCTATAAAACCTTAAAAAATAGTACACAAAATGAAAAAATTATTACATAAAATCATTGATATATAAAAACATAGATGTGACGTTAAGTCAATCCAAAGAATAACATTCACAAATCGAAAGTTCTACTTTTCTAAACACAAATTCGAACTTACGCACACCACATAAAGTACTTTTTTAAACGAAACAACGTGCGTTTTAATTTTGTCATCCGAAAAGCAATGAACAAAAGAGATTTGTAAAAAGCTCACAATTTCGAATTGTGCCTTGTTTTTGATGAAATTTTTGAGAAGCTAATTGTGTATCTTGAGATTTTGTATATCAATGCATGAAATATAAAAAAAAATACACAATGTAAAAAAAATCACAGATCACATAAAACAACAGCCTGTATAAAACTAACTAAATCATTATTATCAATAAATCATAATTATTAAATTATTATCAGCCTGTATAAAATTTACTAAATCATTATTATAAAATTATCAGCCTGTATAAAATTAATTAACTCATTAATATTAAATTATCATCTATTCAAATAATAATATATCTTTATCAAAAGAGGAAAAAATAGTTTTTTTGTTTATTTGTATCCAATAGACTCCGACACTACTGAACCGATTTAGATGAAATTTGATAAGAAGATAGTTTGAGACCCTGGGAGAGAAATAGGATAGTTTTATCCCGGAAATCATCCCTTAAGGGGGTGAAAATGGGGATAAAAGTTTGTATGGGGAAGCAACCTGTATAAAACTATTGGTATTAAATTATCAATGCAATAACAATCTCAACACATTCTCATCCACTTTACTCGGCTCCATCACAGCTTTATTTTCAAAAATGTTTTCTCTGAAGGCTTCCGGAAACCCAACCACTTTGGATATTGGGAAATAATTTTTAAAATACAATATTTCCCGCGCACTACAGTGTGTTGCAAAACAAACAGATAAAGACCGTTCATATTCCAAACGAATTTGGGGTGAATTCGGACTACAGTTATCCCATTTCCTCGCTGAGAGATGTATATGTAGATAGTTATTATAATTAGCGTTAATATATGAATGTCCTTTATTTTCACATGGATATCCACACAAATGTATCCTTTTTTCATATTCAGAATTTGTCACTCCGGGAACTAAATGTTGTATTTTGCTGAAAACCAAACAGTTATGTAAATCAATAGAAAATAAATTCACACACAATTCCATCTAGTTCCATGGTAAGCTACGAGGACTGTGTTCTGGATACCAGATAGTTACTACACATATACAACTTTTAAATACATATTATAAATAAAAAAAGAACCCTTATGTTAGAAAAATATTAGGGTTCCGCTCAATAAGATTAAAGCTTATCTAGGGACGCAGAGATGGGCGCCGGGCGATGCAATAGGGGGGGGTCACACCCCTGTCATGAAAGAAAATATTAGAAAGAGTTAATGAAATAATTTTATCAGTAAAATATCTGTTTAAATTTAGATAACTGCGAAAAAAATAAATAAGATAAGAATAAAAATTATTAATATCAGTTAGTGGTTTAATCTGAAGAATCAAGAAGCAGATGCACCCCCCTGGAAATAATTGCGGCCGCCTATGGACGCATCCGAGCCAAGCGAGGGTACAAGGAGACATAAAATATAAGTATTAGATTAGTAATCTATACATATAATAAAATTGTAACGAAGCCAAATCTATACATTAAATATGTTTTTGGAAAATCTTATTGAAATACATTCTTATTGATTCAGAGGCAGAATCTACAGTTTTTAGAAGTTTGCTCTGTATGTATGTTTGTCTGCGACCGCATCACGGAAAACCACTGGAGGGATTTTGAAGAAATTTGGTATGATGATAGCTGGTTATCCGGGTCAACATATAGGATATTTTTTATTGCGGGTATATATCTCATCTCTGAGAGATCTACACTAAACGTTAAAACGCAATTAGGGACAAACCCGAGCGGAGCCAGGGTGAGTCGCTAGTAAAATATACATACCTATATAGTTTCCACTTTGCACCACTAACATAAACTTTAATGCCTAAATTTTTGTAAATTTCATTGAAAACATACTCATATCCATATCTGGCAGACGTATGAATTGATACTGCATTATCAACCGTCTTCAACCAATCAACCATTACATTCAACATGGCATCCACACTCTCGCTTCTTTTTGGAAAATATTCATGGTCTTCGTCCAAAAACGTCGTATCTATGTACAAGGCGTCAATTTTTATTGGTTCTTCGTTAGAATGGAGAGCTTTATATTTTGGTAAATCATTTATGTTAATTCTAAAATCTCCAGTATACAATACGGTTGTTTCGCTAGTTTTAAATAAAAACATGGTGGACCCAGCGCAATGTCCCGCTGGAATTAGTGTGACGGTGAGCAATAATTCATTATTTTCATCTATTGGTGGTAATGTTATTAGCGTTGAACCTAAAATAATAAAAAAAAACGTGTGTACTTCTTTGGAGTTATACTTCTTTGGCGTAATAGAACAAAAAAAGCTAAAGATTTCATCCCGTATGTCACAACTCTCTGTAAAAGGAATGCAGCTAACTTCATCATGTCGCTTTTTGGCTGTCGATGCGCATCGAAAAAATTTTACTCTCATATTTTTTTCCAAATGTGTCAAAAGTATAACTTCAAAAATATTACTTCAACCATATCCATTTTTAACCGACAAAAAAGGAGGAGGTTTTCAATTCTACACGTATTTTTTTTTTGTTTGACCATGCATAACTTTATACCTCAAAGTTGTTCTTATTTAAATTTGAGAAAAAATATATCCAAAGTATAGAAAATAGGGGATGATTTTCGTCTACTGAAGTTTTAAAATACTTTCTTCTTATTTTGCTACTACTATGTTTACATTAAAAATGGAAAAATAAAAACTAAAAAAAAACCGACTTCAAAAACAACACTAAAAAGTAAAAACTAACTGATTGGTAGTTTTCATTTACTATAGATACCTAATCAGATATTTTTGAAGTCGGTGCCAGCCAATACAAATATTTTTATAATCGAACAACTAATGAATATATACTTCGAATATTAAGAAAAAATACTAGAAGAGCCGACCAATTTGAAAAAAAAACTTTCTGAAAAGTGCTTCAATATAAAAATTCTATGTTTAAAAGACCCCAAGTACTTGGCAAAAAAATGTGTGCAACCTTGATCAGTTTGAGCACAATATTTCTGTTCAATCTTAATGTTTAACAAAGGTTTCATGTGCAATTCATTACAATACCATAATACAATAAAAAGTATGTGATGTTATTGGAACACTTAAGGGTCTTGTATGCCATTTGCCATTACTATATCTAAGGAAACCGAGAAAATATTGTGAAGCTTACCAGGAAAATAGGATCTTATAAGCACAAAAGAAAAAATATTTAAAGTAAATGTCAAAAGTGACTATAATAAGTTCATAATATATGTGTTATCGGCCAAACTAGATATCACACCAAACTTGTTTATGCTAGGACAAACTAATTGAAATAAGCATAGCACTATATCATTATTGGGGATTCTGGGTTTGACGACACGTTTGGCTCAGTTTTTAGTAGGTCACTTGCTGTGCCAGCGGTCGCGGGTTCGAGTCCCACTGGGGGCATTCATTTGTGTGTTGAGCAGGAATGTTTGTACTTCAATCATGGGTGTTTATATTTATAATATGTATGTATTTAAAGCTATACATATATGTGTAGTGTATCAACTATCTGGTATCTATAACACAAGCCTCGTAGCTTACCATGGAACTAGATGGTGTTGTGTGTTAATGTCCCAACATATTATTAAAAAAAAAATATAAAGAAATATGTAACGAGAAGGCTAAGGTGGAAGCGAAGCTTAGCTTCTCAACCTATGTTATTCTAAGTCGGGCCATAAATTTAACGGCCAAATAATACCTCAACATCACTTATGCCTAGGCCAAACTAGTTAAGCCTAAGGTATTTAGTATTTTCTCCAGGCTAAGCTAGTACATATATCCTGACAGACTTTGGCTAAACCTGTTTGGCCTCAAATCTAGTTTGGCTGGTAACATATACATCTGAAATTGTTTTTTTTAACTCAAAGAAAAGCAAAGAAAATTCGACAATTCAAAAAAATTTTAAAATGCCAATACAAAGTATTAATATAGAAATATCAATGCACATAAACTTACCCATTTTCAGCGGCTTAACATATTCCATTATTTTTTTATGACTATGACTTAAGTCATCATCAATAAATGCCGCAGTGAGCTCTGTACAATATAGGTACGCTTTTGGGGCTTTTTTTTCTAAATGCTCTAGAAATACATCAGTGTGTAATCCAACAATATGATCACTGTGATAATGACTCAGAAAATAAGCTCTTACTTCTGCAGACATTTTATTTTCAAAATTATCTACTCTTATATATGGTATCTCTGATATAAGACCATTAAAAGAACTTTTCATTGTGTCACACTTTGTTCTTAAATTCCCAATCTGTTTTAAATTGTGTGGATATAAATAACTTGATGGACTTGAACAAAAACAAAATGATATTAATTATTTTAAACTTTATATTATATCTTATGCATTTTCTCTTGACGGCAAGTATTTTAAGCATTCAAAAATGTACAATGACGGTACAATGATGGTTATATCTGAAAATATAAGTAATAACATTAACAAATCATTCAAGAATAACGAAATTCAAATTTATAATGTTTGTAATATAATTAATATACGTTATCAATCTAACTTCAAAGAACGCTTAAAGGATCTTGCAATATACTTAATATTTTCTAAATATAACTCACCTCAATAAGCAGTAGAGCTGTAGCAAACCGTATGTATTCGTTACTGAGTAACGGGTACGCCATCTAGTACCGAGTACCGAAACGTTACTCACGAATGCATTTCGTTACTCGCATTTTCCGTACATATTTTCGTACTAATATTTTTATTGATTTTTTATTGAGCAAAATACAACTTTCAGTTAATACTTAATACCATTGATGAGTAAATTAGAGAGTTTATTTATTTATTTCGAGTTGCATGATTTCCAGATCTTAGAAATTTTGTTTAGAAACAATTTTCAATTAGAAACAACCATTATATTTAGAACACATTTTTAGTTTTTTATCCAACAAATACTTATAATTTTTACTAAATGATTATGTCAAATGAAATCAAAATATACTTTATTCAAATAAACTTTTACAAGCTCTTTTGAATCGTCAATTTTACATTTTAAATTAAAATAAAATGTTAGTCCTTTAGGAACTACCGCCGGCTCGGAATAAAGTTTTCTGCTGAGAATAACCGGCGAGAATCTCAACAACGGCTCTTTTAAAATAATAATTGTGTACAATATTGTAATACAATAATTATCTATTTATCCTACGTAAGACATGATCATGTGATTATGTGTAATACATACAGATTATGATTTGATAAATCATTCGCGCAATTGATTTTAAATAAAATATGCATTACGACGTCACACTAACGTGATAGATGCCGTTACTTATTCATTTTTAAATTACCTATTTTTATATTTATTATTTAATTTCAAAAATTATTAATAAAAAAATATTGTTAGTAAAGTTTTTAAAAATTATATAGATTTATAAATAATCAAAATTTACGGGTTCTGGATATAATGTAACTCTCCAATTGAAATGGTTTGTTGATCGTGCAATTGCATTATTCCACAGAAAACAACGCGACGTCAACGATATACGGTATAACGTATAATTTATACCGTACGCAATACATACGCAACACGACTCGATACGATGCTCTACGAGTATGTTATCGGGTGTCAAAAGTAACGAGTAACGATTCAAAAGTAACGAGTACTGATGCTATAGTAACGAATGCATACGGGTACGCTATTTGTCGTTACTTTTACACCTTGAATAAGCAGTTCCTACTGAAATATAGTTCTAAATAAATATAAAACGCAGTATAATTTTATAAAAATTGGTCATTATTCAGAGCAAACAAAAAAATCATTTAAGCAAAAGATATGAAAGTTATTTTTAATTCTAATTTTACGATATGGATTAAATTAATTATATATAGTTTAAATTATAAGTACTTGTAGTTCGTAAACACTTAAATTCGTTATCTATCTTAACAAGTTAACAATTAACATCAAGATATCACATAATGATAGCAGGCTAGCACCGGTCACCGGATGATCATAGAGTGACAGATAGGGATGGAACATTTCACGAGTAGCAAATGAAATGCGTAATCATACGTCACACCTGCTACTTAAATTCATAGTGGCTGCTACAAATCACAACTTGGTGAAATCTAGAGCTGTAGCAAACCGTATGTATTCGTTACTGACTACTGAGTAACGGGTACGCCATCTAGTACCGAGTACCGAAACGTTACTCACGAATGCATTTCGTTACTCGCATTTTCCGTATACATTTTCGTACTGATGTTTTTATTGATTTTTTATTCAACAAAATACAATTTTCAGTTAATACCGTTGATCAGTAAATTGGGGAGTTTATTTATTTCGAGTTGCATGATTTCGGATTCTTAGAAATATTGTTTAGAAATAATTTTAAATTAGAAACAACAATTAAATTTAGAGCACATTTTTAGTTTTTTATCCAACAAATACTTATAATTTTTACTGAATGATTATGTGTAATACGTACAGACATAACCACCAACGCTGAGAACGAGCTAGAAATGTTTATTAATGAACCAGTGCTTCCGCGCGATTCTTCGCCATTAGTTTGGTGGAAATCTCACTCCTATATGTACCCCAATTTTGCGGAAATATTTCATGAGCACTGTCACATCGTGGTGACATCAGTGGAGTGTGAGAGAGTATTTTCAAAAGCGGGAAATTTTGCAATTCAAAAAAGAGCACGATTAAGCAGAAAACGAACAGCGGAACTTGTATTTTTAAAAAGCAATGAAGACTATTGTATATAGATATCTCATAAAAAAATCAATCATCAAAAAAATCAAAAAGCAAAAAAAATGATTATAAACAAATTGAAAAAATTAAGAAAAACAAAAAAAAAGTGTATAAAATTCTTTTATAAAAATTCTTATTGTACATAAAAACTATGAACTTTTTAAATACGCCAATGTAATTATGGAACTTAGCTTAATACAATTTTACCGTGTGATTACTCTGATATATTTAAAATTCATTTAATTTTACATTGTCAGTCCCAAGCTTGTAGAAGTATGAGGGAAAGTTCATTGTTTGAAAATAGGTTCATTCAAAGCACCATGTACGTATGCAACTACGTCAGATCTATATCTCTGCTCCATATCACATCAGTAGCGCCATTGGTGACATTTCATACTTCATTTTAATAGCAAATAATATAAAGTGTGACACCAGACCGTCGAAATCAAAAATCTATGCGTGAAAAGTAGCAGGTGAAATCACGTGATTGTTGTAATTTCATCACGTGATAATGATTTAAAAGTAGCAATCATTTCCATGCTTAGTGACAGATCATGTCATGGATGACATTGACAAATAAAAATACAACTAGGAAGTAGCGGATGACTCATGACACTTTACATCACAGAACACAGTTTACTCAGGAGCTTTACATGCTTTTAAAAAAAAATAGCTTACGGCTCCGGGTTCTAGGCTTTAGGCTATTGAGAACAAAATGACAGATAGGTAATAACTAATACCATATAAAAATATTGAGTTTTGCCCAATTATTAAATATTTTCATGCTTATATTATTATAACAAATAATTATTGGTATAAATATCATAAAATCATAAAAAAAATACAATAATGTATTTTTTTTAAATTACACACCCCAAAATGAACGTTTTCTATGGGGAAGAATTTTGCCTTTGTCTTCAGCCAGATGTCACGATCACTATAGCTCTCAGTTTATTGTATAGCTCTATAGCGTGGATGTTTTTATTAACTTTATATAAAATTTAATTAAAATAACAAAATTTGCAGTGCCAGGATGCAAAGAAAATGGATATCACTTGTTTCCAAAAGAAAAACAGAAGAAATTGTGGGCTAAAGGAATAAGACGAGGAAAAGTGGCGAAATCATAATCTTTATATTTAAGGATATGTGGACATCATTTTAAAAAAGTGATTTTAAAACTTTCAAATTGTGTATAGGTGAATATTTTTTATAATTTTTTGTACTTTTTTACATATTAATTATCGAGTTTCATACAAACTTTCCTCCTCCATTTTATCCACTTATGGGATTGAATTTCGAAAAATGCTAAAACACGTATTTCTTTAATTGTATTGAAGAGCATTATTATTTAGGTTCAAGTAATTTTGATCATAAATAATTCTTTGCCCATATAAAATTTATAACCCCCTTTAAGGGATGACTTTCGAAAAAAAAAAACAAATAAATATATTTCTTACTTTTTATCTTAAAGCTAAACACCACTTTCTGTGTATTTCACATTAAGAATGACAGAGTTATATACAACCTTTAATCTCCTATTTTACCCACTTATTATATGAATTTCGAAAAATCATTTTTTATCGGATGCCTATATCATATAAGAGCCAGTCCACACGGCGCGTTGCGTCAGCGTTGCGTCGACGCAGCGCTACCACTGCGTTGTTTTACATACAAATAACCAAGGTGTTCACACGGCGCGCTGCGTCGTCGCAACGCACACATGACGGACAGCAGCCCCCGAGACGAAGCGGGAGGGGGTGTACTCGTGCGACGTCGGAGCGTCAGCGCTCAGTTGCTTGTGCGTTGACAGAGAGGATACACGGAAGCTCATTTCGTTTTACGTTTACGTTTTTGTATTTAGTTTTATTTGCAGGGTAATTAGTTTTATTTGCAGGGTAAAATGAATACCATTGAAGAAATTGACATAGATTACTTGATTACATTGATACAGGAAAGGGAAATTATATGGGACAAGTCAAACGTAGATTTTAAAAATAAAAATTTAAAAACAAAAGCCTGGGAAGACATATCAAAAGTTTTATTTCCTGATTACGAGAATTTCACAGCTGAACGAAAAAATAAAGTTGGTGAGTTCACAGTACAGATATTTATGTTTTTTTTATTTAAGAGGGCTTTCAAGATTTTCTTGCACCGCCAATTCCGCGATCAGTACAAAATTAATATCTCGACACTCTAAAATTTTAAAACTTAGGGAATTTAGATTAGCGTGAGTACTATTTTATTACTTAGCTCAAAACTAACCTAGACTACGCTGAGTAGGTATAAAATATTATTTTTTTACTGATCGCGGAATTGGCGGTGCAAGAAAATCTTGAAAACCCTCATAATACAATTATACCTTATTTAGCTGCCAAGGCAGAGTTCCTCTAGTCATAAAATAGGTCGCATATTGCTGTCTTATGACATTCGGTGCTGTCTGTTCTTCATGTACGGGTTGTATTGGGAGAAATTCATCAACACTTATAGCAAATTTATCTCTTTGTCTAAAACCATCTCGATCAGCGACAAAATTGTGTAATACACAACATGCTTTTATAATGTCAGTAGCGAAGTCATAGGACACGTCTATCGGTCTGTGAAAAATGCGCCATTTGTTAGCCATAATCCCAAAAGCGCATTCGACATATCTTCTGGCTCTGCTTAGACGGTAATTGAAAACCTTTTGTTGTAAGTCGAGATTTTGACCGCCATATGGACGCATAATATGTTTGCTCAGTCCAAAAGCTTCGTCACCCACAAATACATACGGGGTTGGTATATTGCTACCAGAGAGTGGCTGGGGTTGAGGTAGTGGTAAGTTGTTGTTAATCATTAGCTCGTACAGTTTAGAATTTTGTAATATGGTTGAATCGCATTCTTTTCCGTATGCACCGATGTCGACAAATACGAATTTGTAATTTGAATCCACAATAGCTAGCAACACAATCGAAAAAAAGGCTTTATAATTAAAAAAAAGTGAGCCACTATTTGCAGGATTACACACGCGGATATGTTTGCCGTCGATGGCACCAACACATTGAGGAAAATTTGCCTTTACATCAAAACCCCTCGCTATTGTTTGGAAACTTTCAGTTGTCAGTTCAGGGATGTTGTCTCGAAGAAGATTGGTCCATATAGCACGACAAACTCTTTGTATTATATATGCAATAGTAGATTTTCCCCGTTTGAATTTGAAATGTAAATCAGTTATTGAATTTCCACTTCCTAGGTATCTGAAAAGAAAATAATTATTATAATATGCATTTATGAGATAGATAGATACCCGAAAAAAAATACTGACATATTCAGACATCGATAGCAAATAACTTTCTCTATGTAACCAATTAATTCTGGAATCGCGAAAAAAATAGCAGCTGTTGCATACATTTTGATTCAGTAGGTATTGCTTTTTGTATGTAACAGCTGTTATATTTTCACGATTCCAGAGTCGGTCACATAGTGTTTGTTAACGATATCTGAATATGTCATTAAATTTTATCGAGAAATTCACTATGTATAAATTATTAAATCATGTTTACTATTGGTTTTGCAGGTAATGATTTAATAAAAAATGGAGAAGTGTAAAAGATAATTACTTCAGATATTCAAAAAAATTAAAAGAAGCATCAAAATCGGGCTCGGGCGCTACGAAACTGAAGAAGTATCATTTATACAATCAACTCCTTTTTTTGAGAAAAGTGGAACAAAATGCCACCGAATCTAGCTTAGACTCGCCTAGAGAAATCAACAATGAATCTACGTCTACAAATGATGACATTACCACAGACAACACTCCGCGCTATGTTCCAGTCGCGCGCAAAAGGGCAATGCAAATGGATGAGTTTGAAAGAGAAGGACTAAAACTTCTCAAGGAGCCGGAAAATCGCCATATGTCCTTTTTCAGAGCTATATTGCCATCTATTCAAGAATTTTCCGACCGAGAAACTCTCCGTTTCCAAAGTAAAGTTATACAAATTATAGATGAAATGCGGTATGGACAAACATCATCATATGTGAGTGGCCCATCAACGTCTCACCAACCACCATATGGGTATCAAACAGCAAATTTTCAAAGTACATACATTTCTGATTTTAATAATTCAATTACATCTCCAGAAACATCTCAAGCAAGTGAAGAAACTGAATACGATTTTTCTAATTTGTAATTACTGGATGATATCTCTCTTAAATAATGTCTAAATTTAAAATTATGACAATTGCTGATTATTTGTGAGTTGATTACTCTCTTAAATAATGTCTAAATTTAAAATTATGACAATTGCTGATTATTTGTGAGTTGATTACTAATTAAACAAACCAAAAAAACTGTTATATTTTTATTACTTAAATATATTTATATAGTTACCTTAAAGTGATTCCCAGCATTTCTACTGGTTCCACTGGATTCCTCATATTAGTATAGTTTTTTCGTATGTGTGGTTCTAAGGACTTCAATAAACATTCGAAGCTGGATACACTCATTCTAAAAAAATTATAAAACTTCTTTTCGTCTAATAGCAACTCCCGATATTCAAAAAAAAAAAACTGTCCATCACGATTTCTTAATGAAATGAAAGGACTGATCCAGTACCGTCTTGTGATCTTGCGTCGATTTCGGCGGTGACGTAGTAATAGGAGCAATGCTAGACGTCTTTTCCGATCCATGATTTGCTATAGACTGACTGCGAATTTTTTTCAAAATACTTGCCGCAACTGTGCGTCGCCGCTGCGCCGACGGAACGTTGACTGCGTCATAGTAACGCTGCAGCGCCCGTGTGGCCGGCTATGCGTCAAAATATTTGCGTTGCGACGACGCAACGCAACGCAACGCGCCGTGTGGACACGCTCTAAGGAATATCCGTCATCGTCTAAATTTTACATTTTTACGACAATTGGTTAAGGCTGTGTGTTGATCCACAGTCAGTAAGGACCACAGGATGCATCTTTTCTCTCTCAATTCTTCTTTCAGTTGGTCTAACTTCCAGGTACAATACATTGCACAGATAAGAAGCGAACATAATAGAAGCAAAAAACCATACATAAAAGATATCACAATAAATTGCTCGCCTCAGACTCAATATAAGTATGTAATACATGTTTCACTCTCCTTTCGAGAAATCTTCCCCATCGTTTTAATAAAAGATTTAAAAAAATGACATTACTTAAAACATTTTTTTTTATAAAACATCAAAAAATTGTTTTAAGTTTTCTTTGTTTAAAAAAAACATGTTTTAAAATTGTTTAAAAAAATATTTTACATTTAAGTTTTCTTGTTTTAATATCTCAATATAACTTTACTGTGAACAATTTTTTTTTTCACTTTAATTTAATTTAATTATCTGACGAGTGATTTTAATTTAGTCCGCGGGTAATTAAAAATATCGCGAAATAATTCGTGACTGTAAGTCATCACGAGTAATTTTTTAGTTATTATTTATAAAAAATTTAAATTACTTTGTCTTTAGTAAGTAATTTTTATTACATATTTTCTAATGTAATTTCTCGTTTTTATATTATTTAGATTAAAGTGCTCTTATTGATAGTGTATAATAAGTACACGTCTTTTTGGAGTAGAATGAGTAGTAGACTATTTTTAAAGTAGAAGTAAATTATTTAGATACACTATTTAGTTTCGATTTTAATAACTCATGCATAGGTTACCATCATGGACGAATTATTCGTTCATGGTTACCATATAACAGATCCGACTCTTATCGTGATAGGTGACTTATCACCTAAGTAAGGCTTAGAAGGGACTGGGAGTGACGCGTAGCGTAGCCTCCTACAAATATTGTGTAATTTAAATATGTTAATATCGAAATACTTTAGAAAAAAATCCAAACAAAAAAAAATGTAAAAAAAAGAATATTATTTCTTCTTGAAACGTCATTCGTTTTTAAACTAAATTTTAATATAAGACTGCACATTGCACACCACTGGCAACTGGCATTATTTGAAGCTCTATATTGTTAAAACAGTGTATAAATAAACATATAACTTCAGGACAAGGAAAATAAGAACACAGTAAACCAATGCAATAAGCTTGTTATTATCACTTTTTACTTTATAAGTTTTACAATGTCACTTCAATTTTCGTTTTCCATATAATATAACAATTAAATGTAGTTTTAACGATCACTTTATATCACTACTATTTAACCAATCACAGGAAAACTTTATCTTTTTACTTTTTAATGCGTGTTTAGATGACCCGCGCCAACCACGCACAGGACCCGCATACGCGCTTTGCCCGCCTAACACCTCGCGCTCGCCACGCGCAAAGTCAGCGCACGCCTCACGCCCGCATATACAACTAGTGCGGTGACCTAGGTGCATAGAGTATATTGCTACATATATAAACCTAGGTGGCTTCCAGATGTCACAACGTGAGCACGTGTGTAACAAAATGGATTCGACTAAGTTAAAAAAAGTTATAATTGCATACTATATGTATAAACAATGGAAGAAAGAAAAAGACAGTGAAAAGATATATTCTAGAAGAACATATTGGGTTCATCCTATATTAACCCGCAGAGAGAAGCATGGCCAATTTCATGTCCTTTTTGCACAATTACGCAATTATGACGACGAATTTTATAAATATCTCCGAATGACTAAAAGGACATTTGATAAATTACTAGGCGTTTTAAATAAGAAACTGGAGCATCAAGACACAAATATGCGGGATAGTATTTCTTCTGCCGAAAGACTGGTCATAACTTTGAGGTTTTTCTTTTATCTTTATAAGTTTCAAGGGTTTTGTCCCACAGCACGTCCTTTTCCTCCACCAAAGAAATAAATGTTTCTTTATCGATGTTTTCCGTTATATTTATTTAAAAAAATTAAAAAATATGCCACGCGACTGAAGTTGATCAAAGTCAATACGACACTAGCCAAAGCGCGGGCGCAAGGCGTAGTGCAGCGCACATGCAGGGTGAGCGCGGGGTTGGCGCGAAGGGGGCACGTGGCGGGCGCGTGGCGTATGCGAGGCGTGTGTAGTTGGACTTCGGTAAATGCAATTTGAGTTTTATTAATATGTCATAAGACTCAAATTATATGCAACAAATTTCAAAGCGAGTTAGACGCGGGTACTGACGCGCGTGGCGTGCGCGTAGCGGGCGCGTGTCGTCTGAACGCGCCCTTACACATAAGTTTACCACTATTTTGATCAATAAGTTTACCAGCATAAATTATTTTAACAACGATTACTTATCTTTTCTGACGTAATGCACGTCTGTCCAAAAACTAACCCTTCCAACGGTTACCTTACGCTTTTATATCAATCAGCCGGAAGTGAAATTTTAATTATTTTTATAAAATCATCCTGAAAATCAATTAAGTATCCATAATTTATAATTTAATTTTATTAAATTAAACAATAGTATTTCAGAATTTTTAAATGTAATAATATAATTATGAACTTCTTACTATTTGATTTATTTTCAAGAATTTATTTATAAGCATATAATTACAAAATTAGTTACTCGAAAAATATGTTTAATTTTAAGATATTGACTGTTAAATTATTATATTTTAATATTTCTTTAAAAGTATAATCAATAGATATTCCATATTAATTTGGAGTAGTCAAATATTTCCTGTTAATTTATTAATGACTTTTAATGAAAATATTATTATTATTCATGATTTCTAATTATGTATATTATTTTATTATGTACAATTTTACTACTCCGTCTAAGCCTAGTCTAACAATATATTATTATCTTTAACAGAATGCACTACTGCCAGATTTTATAGTAACATCATTTGAGATATTGGGAATAAATTATGGAAAATATTCCATATAATCACAAAATTAATGAGCTTATCTTTAGTACATATTTAAGAATTTAGAAGCGCATTAATTTTACCCGTTATAATGTTTTTGCAATGAATTTATGTTAATCTTGTACATAACCAGTACAAATCTTTAAAAAAATCTTTTGTATATTTTGGAATTGACATATATTATTCCAAAAGATACTGGAAATAAATGGGAAAAAAAGAAAAAGATTAAGATTGATTGAAAAGAAAAAAATTGAAATCGATTTCACCTTTCACTGAATTTTCAGTAAAGGTTTTAATGAATATTAAGATGTAGCGAACGCGTCCCATATAATACACTAGCGACTCACCGTCGCTTCACTCGGGTTTATCCCTAGCTTGCTTCCCAATACAAACTTTCATCCCCATTTTCACCCCCTTAAGGGATGATCCATACTAACCGTTAAAATGAACCTAGGGAAGAACCCGAGCGAAGCGAAGATGAGATCGATAAAATAAGGGTAAGGACAAAGATTGCATCCTCGTTTTGACATAGGTCACCCTTGAAATACCGGCTCGCTTATCATACGAGCGAAGCCGCGGGCAAAAACTATTTACTAGTATCGTATATTTGAATGGTACCTAAAAATATCTACGAAAAGACAAGTATCACATGAATATCTGCAACTATACGGTTCACTTTAGTAAAATATGGCATACATATAAGTCTTCTACAACTTTAAAAAAGTGGTAGCTATCCATTATGCAATATAACAATTAGACATAGCACTTACGTAATTAATATGTTTAAATCTACAAATGATATTAAATAAAACTATCATTTCGATCTTTTTTTTCGGGAGAGACCTCTACCGTGACCATGATTGCTGTAAAGCATTCGAAACGTTGGCAACCAAAAACCAAAACAAATCCGCGTAAAAATCCGAAAAGATAGTTTGATTTATTACTAGCGACTCACCCTCACTTCGCTCGGGTTCGTCGCTAGGTACGTTTTAAATAGATATAAATAGTTATTAGCCAGCGTTAGCCATATAATGTTTTTTTCGTTAATTTATTTTTTTTTAATTTTTTCTCTTTATTAAAACCTTCCGTGGACCTTAAGGAACATAAGAAAAAAGAAATTCGCCGAATTAGTCCAGCCATTCTTGAGTTATGCGCTTACCAACATTCATTTTTATTTATATATTATATTATATTATATGGTTGTTAAGTATTCTTAAATTTTATAATTTTCCGCGCAATTTTTTCTTTTTTTTTTCTTTCATAAGAACCTTCTCCCGATAATAACAAACACAACAAAAAAATATAGTTAAAGCAGTCCAGTCGTTCACGCGTGATGGCGTAACCAAGGATAATAGGGATATATATATATATATACAAGATGTTCAATATTTCGTAAATCTAAAAAAGTATTATTCCACAAATGATATTGTAATTTTATTATACTTACTTTAAGTTTTTGTTAACGCTTTGTAAGATAAGAAATGACACGAAGCTATAAAAATACTTTTATAATTATATTTTAGTACACGAATAAATACTAAAATAAGTTATACTTATGTTAGGCTCCAAATTTTAGTGATTTTAAAAACGAATAATAATTTTAGAATTTCATTCATTTGTACAGAAAAGTGTCAAAATTTAGTTGTGCTCCCGCTTATAAAAATCTCCGATATACATATGTTACTCAATTTACTAACGTAGTGGCACAGGGAGGAATTTACAAATAACTGGTCTGTCTCCTTCACGTTTTCACTTTGACAATGCCGAGTTACTTAGTAGCAAGGACTTAGGGTTCAGCACAAATAAAGGAAAAATTCCAAAATATAAAAATAGTTGAAAAATTAAACTTAAACAGATTTCCTACAAATTTGTACGGA